CATCCTCTTTTCCACCTTCCGCCCGCGACCAGATGCCCCTTTATGCACCCTCATAGCCACGTACCAAGATGCCTTCCAGCCAGAGCAGCACCCGGCGAGTCCCCAAGGCATCGCTGATAAAGTAAAACATACTTGCCAACATGACGACCAGGTAGAATATTTGAAACGAAGTCATACGCCGACAGCATCCCCTGCCTTCCTGATCCCCTCTTCTGCTCCTGTCCAGCCCTTCGTTTCCTATCCCGAAAGACGAGTGTCGCGCCCCTTGCGGGCCCCAGGAAGGACGGTGGGCGCTCGCGCAGGCTGTGGGATAGGCCCCTCCCACCCCGCCGGTGCTGGCGGGGTCTCCGTGCCCAACATTCGCGTGAGTGCTTGCAGATGCAGTGGGATCAGAAAAGGTAGAAGGGAGAGAGTTGTGTTCGCCGCCGTCAAATGCTTTGTACTCTCTGGCTTTAGCCCCCTTTATGGAGAGGGCGGGCAGGGGGAGGGACGGCATAAAACGGTCGGTTCCACTAGTCGTTGTGACACCTTTTGCGCCTCCTCCCTTTGCTACCACTTAGGAAAACATGTGAAAGCAGGGAGATGGGCAGGCAAAGCCTGGCAGGAACAGGGGGCGAGAGTGGTAACAGAAGAAGGAAGAGGATAATAATGAGCGAATCAAATTAGACGGGGTCGAGCTTCTTATTCCGAGTAAAGTCCCTTATGTGATAGTGGGCACGTGCAGGCATGCGTCTCCCGGCGCAAAAGGGGCAATTTGCTTGGTGATTACCATTTAACTCGCGCACTCCTTGCGTCGTGGCGGTGGAAATCCTGGTCTATGAAGTCCAAGACACGCTAAGCAGACACTGGTTGAGGTGCACAGGCGACGCAAGCGATCCTGCTGCCCAATTAAAACCTGCAACAAACTCTACTCGTGCCCGCCCACACACGCAGTTTTGTCATCAAAGTGACATGAACTGACCACTGACACACCAACACCCACAATTACGAATTTAGACGTTCGAACGGTGCCTGTCGATGGCGGCGTGTTCAAAAAGAAGAGAGCCACACAGGACGGTCAGGGGTAGCCTCCTCCCCCCTTGTCTTGGGACTCTCGTGTTTCTCCTTTTGCAGCCCCAAATCGCGGACACCTTTAGAATAAGACACACTTCCACCCAAACAATCCTTCTTTCTGGCTGCTCTGCTACGTCGGTTATCAGAAGATGGACGATGGACGAGGGGCAGGAAAACTGCAATGAGATGATTAAAATAAGAGCGTTGCGACATTGTTGGCCCAAAAGTAAGGGCTTTAAATCATTGCAAGCATTGAGCAAGCTTGCACCTGCGTTTTGGGGCCTTTTCTTGGGCGTGCGCCCTCTTCATCCTCTTCCTCAGGCCGCCTACGCCGGCCCAAGCAGCCCAGCGACGACCGGCACCACCGCTACTCCCCCTGTTTTCTCCGTCACTTCGCCCAATTTTCCCCCCACCCAAGCAGCTGCGGACACAGACGATCTCTTTGACGAGGTCTGGAAGCTGACTTCCAAGTTTTACCTGGACAGGAGTTTCGGAGGGAACGACTGGGGACAGGCGCGGGCTGACTTACGGAGTCAGGGGAAACTACCTGGAGACAGCGCCAGTGAGACCACGGCCACGAAAAAACTGTTGAAAAAGCTTGGAGATAAATACACCCAGCTTCTCTCCCCTTACATGTACACGGCCATGAGCCGTTTCGACCCGATCGGCGCCGGCTTCATGCTCTCGGTGGACGACGACGGGTATTTTTGCGTGTCCTCCGACCCCCGAGACGGGACCCGGGCCGCCAAGGAACGCGTGGAAAAAGGGGACAAGATTCTAGAAATCGAAGGTGTGGCGATCAAGGGGAAAAGCGTCTTTGACGCGGTGGATCTGATCACCAAGGAGGACAAGACGGACGTGCGGCTGACCATTCAATCCAAGCGGGATCCTGCGGCCGCCCCCCGCGTCCTCACGTTGCCCCGCGAGTTCAACACCGTCTCAAATCCAGGTAGGGCAATAGCCTCGCGCACAAAAGTTACGGGCGTAGTAGCCAAGAAGATGGAAGGTCCCAGGAAACATCAGGCGATTGTGCTTTCTTTATACCGTTGTCCACACGTGCATTTTCAACTTCTCCATTTCTTTCAGTCACCAAGACGCAGCTTACCACTGCCGAGGACGGGCGCAAGGTCGGGTATGTAAAACTCCGAGAATTCAACTCTTTGGCCAAGGAAAAAGTGCGCGAAGCACTAACCTCCCTCGAAAGCCAGGGCGCCGAGGCCTACGTCATCGATTTACGCGGGAATCCAGGTGGATCTGTGCAAGCGGCGGTATCAGTAGCGTCGTTATTCCTACCCGAGGACCAAATTGTCACTTTCATTCAAGACGCTACCGGCAACAAGCTACCTCTGAAGACTCAGGGTGCGGCCGCCGTTCCTCGGGACCCTCTGGTGGTATGGACCGATAGAAAGTCCGCCAGTGCTTCCGAGATCTTGGCCAGCGCATTGCATGACAATTGTCGCGCGGTGCTGATGGGCCAGAGGACTTTTGGAAAAGGCTTAGTTCAAGGAGTGTTTGGGTTGAACGATGGGAAGGGCCTGGTGATGACTGTCGCGAAATATGAAACCCCACGGGGGGCGTCCATTCAGGGGACTGGTATCTTTCCGGATATTGAAACAGTCATTCCAAGTAGTATTTTAGGGGAGCAGGATATTAGCGTGGTCCGAGGGGAGGACTTCAGCTTGAAGGATAGGATCTGCTTGGACAGAGGCGGGAAGCAATGAGGATTTGGAGGCAGAAACAAACACGACAAAGAAATTAATTTCACTGTGAAGTTCTTAATCACTCGTTCAAAAGCATTGAGAATACATCCAGTCAGGAAAAGGCCCTTCACACACACAGTGACAGACATGTTTTTGTTTTTTTTCATATGTACGTTTTACAACGGTCGATGGAGCTATTAACTAGAGGATTACGACCCGTTCTCTTGCGTAAACATCTTGTACTATGGATCCAGCTCTCTGATATACTCTGTATCATTTATCCCAACGAAATGCTTGCAGTATATTTTACTAAGGTTGCATGTTAAGTTACAGACGAAGACTTGAAATAACCTCCTGGTTCTGCTCACCCCAATCTAAGTACAAACACACTAACACCACCCTGTCATTCCCCCATATCGCAGCTCCCGAGATATGCCCGAACTACCCGAGGTCGCTGCGTTAGCCTCAGCCATTAAAAAGGAGGTCATTGGTCGAAGGCTTGTCCATGTGCTGACCGAGGAACAAGGTGGGGGGCCACGACACGGGTTGTACGATGACCTGGTTTTTGGAAAGGCCGACGAGCAGGAAGTACATCGTTCAATGGAAGGTCGGGTATTGACAGCTGTAGGACGTAGAGGCAAACATCTTTGGATGGAGCTCTGTGATTCCTTCCCTTCTTGCAGCCAAGGTAGAAATCACAGAGGCAGCGCCATCCCATCAAAAGCCTCAAAGACAACGGATGACGACACACGCTTTGTACTCTTTCACATGGGCATGACGGGTTCCTTGGTCTTTCAACACGTGGCTATCCCTCAATACCGCTCGTTCGCCCTGGATGTCACCGAAGGTTGGCCCCCGAAGCATTGTAAAGCCGAATTTGTATTTGAGGAGTCCCCAAAAGAAGGCGACAGGAACAACGAGCTCCGCTTGGCCTTTTGCGACCAACGGCGATGGGGCCGTATACAAATCCTCCCTGCTGGTGTCGTGGATCCACGGACGGAATCACCACTGAAGGAGCTGGCGCCTGACGCATGGATGGAACGCCCTGACTTGGCGGTCTTTGCGGAGAGACTGAAGGGGACCGACATACCGGTAAAAGCCGCCCTGCTGGATCAACATCGCATCGTGTGTGGCGTGGGAAATTGGGTGGCAGACGAGGTATTGTACCAGGCAGGCGTGGATCCCGCCAAAAAATGCAGCGTTTTGAAAGAGGAGGAAGTCCGCCGGGTGTGGGAGATGTTGGCCCATGTGTGTGAAACAGCCTGTGCTGTAAATGGTCGGAGCGAGGCCTTTCCGTCTGATTGGCTCTTTCACTTTCGATGGGCGAAATCCAAAAAAGACAAAGCCGGAGTGCGGGGTCCAGATGGCCGCCGAGTAGTGTTTGAGACCGTGGGGGGTCGCACAACTGCGATAGTACCCTTGGTGCAGCGGATTAAGGGAGGGAGAATAAAGGATAAAGTAGAAGGCGAGGTTGTGGAGGAACAAGAAAAAGTAGGTAAAGGTAGCGGGGCGCAATCAGGATCGACAAAGGCGAAGAAGGTGATCAAGATTGAGGGAGAAAATAATGACACCGAAACGAGCGAGAAGGAAAGAGGTAAAAGGACCAAACCAATAAATTACGGAGCTGCGGCTCGTAAAGAGACCAAGACACGAAAAAAGATACCAGGGAGCTCACCATCGGGAGCCAAAGTTCGTCAAGGTACAAAACAGAGAAGCGCAGGAAAGGAAGCAGAAAATGCATCATGTACAGCTCACGCTGAACCACGGAGGAGCCCCCGAGCTAGACCAGCTGGCAAGAAATAGATGCAGCAGACAGGAGAAAAGCATTTTCAGAAGTGTTCAATAAATAGAATACAGGAATGTGGTGACATCCTGGACTGTTTTTCAGAGCAGAGTATCGATGAGTATTTCTTTCCCTCCCCTGGAAAGTATCCGTGCGTGACTGAAGAAATCCTAGCTCAACTTCTCAAGCCAATTTCCTACTCAAATGTCTTACGAAAAACCATATAGCCTTCAAATCCCAAAGAAATATGCAGCTTACGACGTGCTATAGCCCTAGCATGGGTCATGAAATGCTTCATTCCACCTGAGGGACAAGAGGCGACGTAAAACCTCCCTGTTCCGGCATTGTTGTTCGCCCGTGTATAAGAAATTTCTTTAAAAGGATCTTTTGCGCTCACCAAGCTCCATCTCCACGTAAGTTGAGAGTTGTTGTGCGCAATGTTTCGATTCATCATCAAAACAATTGGTGCACGCGTCGCTTTCCATCGTCGTTCCCATGAGCGATGAAGCGAGGGCAAACGAGAGGTGCCGCCGGCTTTCCATAAACCACAAGTCATGTCACAAATGTCAGCAAGCCACCATTACGGCGCCTATTTTTGTCGAATAAGCGTTGCCTGCATCCTTGCAAAATTTCACGGACATTGTTTTTCTGACAGGTGTCATCATTATATTTCTTCCAGCAAAGTTGCAAGAAGGGGCGAGGCCGCGGTGCATGCAAGCTCTCTCCTACAGCAGCACAAAAAGAAGAAACCGGCGAGGCATTTACTTTCCTGGGATAGTCCCGTGCTTTTAACACCGAGTAAAGGAGGCGTAGTAGGCCGTTCAAGGATCCCAAGCAGGACCGGAGGACCCGGTGTAGCTTCTATAGAAGCAAAATGAACGGAGGGGGCCGCGGGACGTGGGGAGGAGGTGGAGGTGGGCACCAAGGAGGAGGTGGAGGAAGGGGAGGAGGAGGACGCACCGGCGGGAGCGGCTATCGCTTTGGTCGCGGTGGACGAAGGTGCGTAGGAAAGACCATGCAAGTGTTTTTGCCGGTGAGCCGTGACTTGGGCCTGAATGCCTTCAGGCAAAATTCCGGGAGGCAGGACGCGGTCACGGGATGTCCTATAAATGTGCCCTCCGACCCCGTAATTTCCACCTTCAGCTACTTCCGGACTGCAACATCGTTGTTCTGTGTCTTGTTGACTGTTGTCGCGACTCTTAACGATGCGTTTTCCGTCTTTCTGCCCCCTCACCTCCACATGCTCCTGTTCGTTTCCTTACCTTTCGCCCCATTCCTACAGAGGCGGCGGACGTGGGCACTCGGGCCGAGGTGGACCAGGGGTGAACCAAGCAGGACAAGGCGCTCCTTTTCAATGCAAGCATACCCTGGACGGGACTTGCTCCTGGGGCCCATCCCGGTGTCGGTACGTGCATGGGGTCGATTTCCATGCCAACGGCGTGGATTTGGAGGCGCACAAAGGCGCCATCCGAGGCTTGGCCAGCGATGCGAATTGCTTGTACACGTTCGGGGAGGACGGAATCATCAAGACATACAGCTGGACCCCAGGTAGGGGGGTAGGGCGGGGGGGAAGGGGAAGGCCCTCGAGTGACATACCCCATGGCGCCCGGCGTTGGCATATTGACGCGGGCATGGTCGGCATGTTCCCTTTATTTCCCACCCTTCGTCAGGCACGGGCATCACGGGTTGCAAGGAGCAAAACGGTGGGGGTCCGGGGAGTTTCTTCACCACCTCCGACCCCACCCACGCCTTCTATTTCTACGGCTTTCGGCAGCCTTTGGTGCCAGGCCTGAGCTCGGAGACCAGCTTGGTGGGCCGGGCGCAAATGTTTTTCAACAACGCCTCCACCGACTTGACCGTCTCGGACGACTGCCCCTACACCGACCCGCGTAAAGTGCTGGCCTGTGTGGCGTGGGAGATGCCCGCTCCTTCCCCCCCTCATATCTTCACGGCGGGGGAGGACGGACGCATCTATTCCTGGTCGTACAACGCCGAACAAGCCCGGTTTGTGGTGGGGGCGACGTACGTAGGGCACACGCGCCCGGTGACGGCCCTGATCTTGGCAGCGACCGAAAACCCACCTTTGCTGTACTCGGCGGGCTTAGACGGAACGATCCGCTGCTGGAACTGCGCCAGTCATGCCTTGGAATGGACGAGCACGGCCGTCGGGGTTTTCCGCCGGCTGTCCGAGCCTCCACAGCCACACGAAGGGCATGTGGAAGGGATCACGGACATGTGCTCGCTGGTCTGCGAAGGGCAGTCCTTCCTGGCCACCAGCAGCCAGGATGGGAGCGTGCGGATTTGGAGCATCCAGGGGGGGAATCTGGGCGTGACCTTACCCCTGGATTTTCCCACGGGCGCAGCGGTAAAGCTGTGTCAAGTCGCGGCAGGAGGGGAGGGGGGGGGAAGCGACCCGGCGGGCTTAGGCCCTCCGTCGTTTTTGGTGGTCGCTTATGAAAGCGGGCACATGGTTTTCTGGACTTTACCCGGCTTGGAAACCTACTTGGTGATCGATCCACCCTACGCGGGGAAACCGGGGGGTAGGG